TATACTCCCATGCACGCTGCGGCCTCATACGGGCAGCTTGAGACCCTAGCGTACCTGTTCTCTCAAGGTCAGTGATAAGATCATTGACCCACAATAAACTTACCTTTCTAGCACAGGAGGGGACGTTAATGTCACCGACGAGGACGGGGATACACCGCTATATGCTGTTGAAAATACCGAGACGGCACAATGGCTATTGGACCACGGATCTACTTTAGACCATCAGAATAATGATGGCGTCTCCGTGCGTGAGCTTAGGAATCATCTTATCACCTTTTTGCTGATATAAAATACACATCAGCCTATTGAACATTTACAAGAGAACTTTCCCGAAATTGCTGCATACCTGCAGTCGCGCCTAAATCCTTCCTCATGTGTGATCCCTGGGGCGGTGTCGCCCTCGCGACCTTCTCAATATCAGCAAGACATCGCAACAGAGTCCCTCACGTCATCGCTTATGCAGTCTGTTCATGATATCATGCAGCGGTCTGAAGCAGACGGCAGAGATCCTGATGAGGAGTTAAGACAAGTCGTTGGCAGAATAGTGTTTGAAGGAGTTGCAGCAGGGTATGACATGACAACGGATAGTAGTGACGCTGCGCATCATTCCGAAGCTAATGGGGTCAAGAGACCTCGAACGGATGGTAGTAATTAATTCTCTACTCGCCACCATGGCACCAATGTGGATCCATGGTAGTGCATACTACGTACATAGCTCCTGGCTGTTTCACTCCTCAAAACGAACAACCCGATCGGATGATCGTCGCAAAACGATTAAACACTGATCATGATCACAGTCGATCAAATCAGCCGTCACTCGAGGGACGTTATCCGTAAAAAGTTACCATCCTTGGAGACAACAGTTACTTGTTTAAGACATGCCTCGTATGTTATGAGAACGGGATTGGAAGTGGTATCTAAAATACCTGGGACTCGGATGTCCGCAGCCGGAGTGAAGGGTGTGTGCCCAGGCTTGGCACAGCCCAGCGCCAACCTGCACCAACTCCGTTAATTCCTTTCGAATTTATCCGATCGAAACTGTTCACGTTCGTGGAGTGAGAACAGATGGGAACGTGAACTGCTACGAAGTTTCCGAGGAAGTTCGTTGATTACGACGACGCAGTGTTCGATGGTGACTAGGGCATTGAAGCTATGCTTGTGTGGTGTCTTTTTGTCTATGAGCATCAGTTTTGGGGTGATTCTGTGCGATTATCTATTGGCACAGCAGAAAACCTGTGTCATGCAGATATGTCCATGGAGATCCCACGGGTATGGGCATGAGCTGGCACGAGTCCTTTGGATAGCAGTTATTTCACCCGACATCAATCGTGACTCGTCTGAGAAGCAAAACATAGGCCTTCTACACGAACACGTTTGCGGGCGTAGAGATTCGGAAAGTCGCGAAATGAGTAGAAGAGTGAGCAAGAATGAAGAGGGTCGCTAGGGCTTGCAAGGGTTTGGAGACCTTAAATTTGTGATTTCAGCGTCCAACGAAAACAAGTTCAGATATAAAAACGCGACACGACGCGTTTATAGACACGCGCTCCTTCAGATTACCTTTTTAGGATACTCACCATTACTTCTCTTCCCCCATGGCAGACCAAGTTGCAAGCTTAGCTTCTTGTTTCAGTTTCGAAGACATTTCACAAGCATCTGCACGCACTGATGGATCCGATAAGACTCCAGTTCTGAAATTAATCAGGGAAAGTCAAACCAAGGGTTATGACTTTGTCTGTCTTCCTTTGACTACCCCAAAATGGAGAGAGCGATGGAGAAATATGTGCATCGTGCCATCAGCAAGTGAAAATGGCGCTGATGAAAATGCAACTGCAGAACAGCAGGCAGAGGCATGGAGGAAAGCACCGTCTTTCCTGCACGAGGAGGTGACCATCTCAACACTTGGTAAGTGAGATCAACAAACCACCAATCGTGCATCCTAAGTGGCAATGCGATAGATGAGGCGGTACCTGTACTTGTGATGGTGTCAGACTGGCTTCAGCTTGACTCAACAGATGACTGGGTTAGGCATGATTCGGAGATCGTGAGTCCATTCTGTGAAAAAAAAATCATGTTTATGGGCGTTGTGGAGCTATCTTCTCGGAGCTTATTTTTCGGCACTAACCCGAATCTGATTTTTCAGGCATTGCGCCAGGAAGTGGCCTACGCGTCATACCTCAATGTTCAGACGGTCATTTTACCTCCACCTAGGCATCGATCACAAGTCGCATCATATGCGCGCGCCGTAAATGAATGTCTCAAAAGTACGACCTTTATGAACTTCTCGATTCGCCTTCCTATCTACGATCCTGCTGTCTTTCAACCGAAAGAATCGACAATTATTCCTCCTTCGATAACGAGCACATCGTCGACCCCATCTGCACCCTCAACACCGAAAATTGTGACACCGCGAGCTTCCACGTCAAAATCCTTGAAGGCTGCACGGGCTCCCGAAGGAGAGATAAATGCAACTTGGGAAATGTGGGACATAATACGCACACTGTGTGACTATAATACACGCTTGACGCTCAGTATGCATTCACTTTACGTCTTGGAAACAGTACTTGACGAGCTGAATTCCAGCGCTCGATCTCACCCCGCCATTACCTTCTAATGCCGGCATCCTCAACAGATGGATGGCTGAACCCGTTCACCACATATTCCTCCCCGCGTCCACGTTTATCGCGAATGTGAAGGGCTACCCTGTTCTTCCCAAGGGTACACAATCCTTTCTACGCAATAGCATGGCGGTGAGTTAATCATGTATTTTTGCTATTGGGCAGATGATGAACCAAGAATCGGCTAGCATCACCCTATCGTCATCATGTCAGGGGTTAGTTCGGGGTTACACACCAAAGGTGGCGAATCAGCATATGCACAATATGTGCGACATGTCGAGAAGACAAGCTCGGCTGTTCAGGCAGCGATGACGGCAGGGACAGTTGAGCACTTCGCTCAGGGTTATCAAGACTACCTCCAGAACCCCTTACAAGTTGATATATACACCTCATTTCCGCATGCTATCGTACTGATGTCTGCCTAGCCGCTGATGGACAACCTCCAGAGCATTACGTATCAGACATTCGAACAGGACCCTGTGAAATACCGCAATTATGAAGAAGTGCGTTTCATCTATTATGAACCGAAGTTGTACAGTGACACGTGAAATCTGTAGGCCGTGTATCACGCGTTGATGGACTGGCCTGATAGTGACCACATGTGCGAATCACATTTAGCATGTATTACAAGGCTTAACCCTTCTTCGCAGTGTGATTTGCGTTGCTGGGGCAGGCCGTGGCCCCCTTGTTGAACGAAGTTTGACGGCCATCAAGAGATCGAGAAGAAGTGCCTTCGTGTACGCAGTTGAGAAGAACCCAAATGCCTTTGTGACGTCTGTTTGGCTCTCATCATATTCACATTGACGTCTGACTGTAAGCAGGCTTCAGGGCCGGAAACAGAATGAATGGGGTAACTCTGTGCAGCTGTTCTTTGGCGACATGCGGCATGTAGAGCTCCCTGAGCAAGTGGACATCCTCATCACTGAATTACTCGGTTCGTTCGGCGATAACGAGCTAAGTCCGGAGTGTCTCGATGGCGCAATGAGGTTTTTGAAACGTATGGATTGTTTACGCTCATCACCCATTTCGCTAACCGTTCTCCAGCTGATGGCATCTCCATCCCATCATCGTACAGCGCCCATCTCGCTCCGCTATCTTCATCGAAGTTATACAATAGCGCGCGAATCAGTAGAGAAATCAAAGGCATGGAAACACCATATGTGGTGATGTTCCAAAATGTCAACATCTTGAGTGGGGATGGCGGAGGAGTATCAGGCCGCTGCGGGTCTATGATTCAACAATGCTGGGAATTCGAGCATCCGCGAAAAGATGCGACCGTCGATGAACGAGGTGAACCTGAATAGCGGACCTTCGGGCCAGACGGACGCTAATTATGCCGAGTGTCTAGGCTTACCCCTGACAAATAGTCACAATGTCCGCTCTGCTAAGCTGTCGTTCCATATTCCTCATGCTGGGGTTATGCACGGGCTTGCCGGTTATTTCGAGGCCGTCCTGTATGGGCATGTTGGTCTTAGCATTCAACCGCATAGTAAAGATCGGGTATCGAAGGACATGCTGAGCTGGTTCCCGTTATTCTTCCCATTCAAAGTAGGTGTTATCATCAACATTCTCTAGTGGCTCTGGCTCTTATTGACATTCATTCGCCTAGGAACCTCTGTACCTACCTAGCAACTCAGAACTGCACGTATCAATCTGGCGACTTACAGATGAGCGGCAGGTATGGTACGAGTGGTACGCCGAGTCGTTTTTGCCCGTGTTCAATTCTTCATCGTCACCTGAACACTCTGAGGATGCGTCAGGGGATGGGTCTTTCTTCGCATGTACCTCGACTCATGTTGCGGTCCCGAGTCCTGTGATCGACGCTGTTGATGTATTTCCATCTTTAGAGCGTTCTGAATTGCGCAAGAGTGGAGAAGAATCACCAAGGTCTACTGCGGGGGTCATTAAAATTGGACAGACGTCGCTACACAATCCTGGAGGACGAAGTAGTTGGATTGGATTATGAGGTAAATTTTACCGTCGTGCATGCATGCACGCAGGATTGTTGAACATGCGATGTTACATAACAAGATTGTCTGTGCCCCAAAAATAACTATTTGTGACGGAAGCATTGACATGTAATTATGCTTCATATGGTCTCAATCATCTAAAGTTAACGTGACGATCGTTGCAGAACAATAGCGCTTTAACTCCACAAAGTCTCGCATAAATGCCTTGTTAGCCTCAACATGTTTCATTGCATGTGAATGCACTTTAGTGTCAGCCAGTTTTTCAGTATCAGTACCAGTTTGCGGCTGACTACTATCAGTTCAAATCGATACTTCGCGGAGATTTAAAAACGATTCGGCCGTGGTATCGGCAGCCTACCAGACTTCAAACTCCGCCAAGCCTTAAGAGTGCCGTGGTAACAGTAACGTTCTATTTCATCTCTCGTTCTCTTATTTTCTCGAATAAAAAAAAATACCCGACCCGCTATTCGCGACGCGTTCGTTCAGCATACCTATATCGACGATGAAGTTCACCACCGTTTTCGTAGCCCTCGTTTCCGCCGTTCCGGTTGTCTTTGGTCTTACCATCAACACACCGTACGTGTTCTCTCTTAGATATCCTTGTACGCGTGAGAGTGCTCATCGTGTGGTGCAGGGCCAATGTTGTTGAATGCCGTGTGTGCTTTGCCGTGAATTAGTATCACGCTCTAACATTGCTTGTCCTCTAGAGCCCATTTTGCTTAGTTGGTCTGATGGACAGGCTCCCTACTACTTGACCCTCGTGCCTGGTATGTCCTCGTTCGATTGATTAGGTGTCATTTTATTAATTCGCATCGCAGGTGGGCAATCAATGGCGGCACCTGTTAGCGATCATCTTTACACTGAAGCTGACTGGCCGTCCTGAGACATTTTTTGACAGATCAAGTCCTTCCCTACACAAACGGGCACATCCTATACGTGGAACGTTGATCTTCAAGCAAACACCATCTTGTGAGTTACTCTCTGGCCCTCTTGGAGACGTCTAGCTGACACTGGAGTCCAGTAACATCGCTCTGAAGGACAGTACCGGTAATACGGCATACTCTGACATCGTCACTATCATGCCTGGCAGCGACACCTCCTGCCTGAACACAGCAGTGGCTGAGGGTGGTTCGGCGAGTGGTAGCGCTGTTGCCAGTGGCACCTCTACTCCGACCGCTGGGTAAGTTGCAATTATTGCGTGGGCTTTAGCGGCTACTAAGTCATCTACTCGCTTAGATCTTCCGCGTCCGCATCTGGTACAAGCTCTTCTGGTGCTAAAACTTCTGCCACTACCACTGCATCTGCTGGTACGACCCAGAAGACCGGCGCTGCCAGTACCCTGTCTGTCTCTTCGGCAATGGGTGTTGCTGGTGTGATGGGTCTCGTTGGTGCTGCTCTCTTCTAAGCATGTTGATAGTACGGACACGATCATGACGCGCGACGGACTGTTTTATTTGATACATATCACCTGTCTTTCCTCGTTTCATATTATTCATACTTTAGTCACTTGTTTTTGTTCCAATGTGCCTTACTTCGTGCTCCTTTGTGCATTATAAAAGAGCATCATTCATTTGTCACTATTAACTCATCCCCTGACCATCACGAAATCACTGAACGCAATGTCTGACATGACCAGATTGAATCATTAGCACTGCGGGTTTGAATAGTAACACGTGACCAGTCGCGTAGACTTTCAAGCGAATTTCTGTTGAGCTTCTTTGCGCACGTCGCTTGCATTTTTTTGCAGCTGCGACTGGTCGGTTCGCTCAGAGGAACGAATTTTTGCAATATCTCTATCTCTCTCACTTCTCATAGCACATTCCCTACTATCATTATTCGAGAAGATGTCTACTGTGGCCGACAACGCTTTCGTCGCTGACGACCCGTTATCTAATGGCCACCAGCTGCACGACGGTGCAAATTCTTTCGAGCCTAGCCAATTAGTGACTGACGGGGAGGTCGTCGAGGCTGCCTTCTATTGTGTGCAAGAGCCTACACTAGGTGCCGAAGATGGTTCCGGAGCCGGAGACAAGACCGACGATAGCTTGGTGACGGCCTCCTCTGACGACACTCTCGCGGCGGAAACGTCTGTCGAGGTTCTCAATGTTGTGTGTGCCACTCTTTGCCGTGTTGTAGCTCTTGTGTGACTGAATTGTATCCAGGGCAAGTTAGTTGATGATATGGGGCCAGAGGCACCTGCCCTGCATGCCAGTGACTTTGATAAGGAGAACACCATCCTTATCCATGACTCCCAGCCTCTCGCCAACGGCCACCACAAGTCTCTTTTTGTAGAAGAGTCCGAGCAGCTTGCAACTCTCACAATCGTCCCACGCGACAAGCCTGCAAGTCTTGCAGAGCTCGTCCAAGAGGACGCGATTGAGATTTCTGGTACAGTTATTTCAGAGATACCCAAGGTGTGCACATGCGCAGACATGTTTTTGACGCGTCCACTCTCTGACAATCAGCTTACAGGACGAATTACCAATCACTGACGGCGCAGGCACGGAAATACCCTTTGTCAACGTTGCCACAATCGTTGTGGAAGCTTCTAAGGCCTCTTTAGATTATGGAGAGCCTCCTATCGCTGCTAGTACTGGACCTGACACGTCCCTATCAGACTTTGTTACAACTTCCATAAACGGCGTCGGGAGCACTACTAATGCAGAGCCTTTCTGTCAGGACGAGACGCCCATTTCCCATCCAAGCACCGAAATAAGCCCAACTGCTGATATGTTAGAAGAGGTTGTTGTCTTCCCTGCTGTTGAAGCAGAGGTGAGTTGTGGTGCTTTCAATGCGACGTTTCTCCCTCATCTTGACGACATTGCAGGAAATATCTACCATGGCCGCAGAACCTGAATCAGTTATCGTAGAAGATGCATGTGACCTGATTGATGCGGAAGCAAGCATAACGCAAGTGGAGGCTCCGTCCGTCGGAGAAGAACCTGCGGTCACCGAGACCGTGGTTATAGCGTCTATCGATTCTGTAGCGGAGGCCGCTCCTGAAGGTGAAATCATATCGGACGAACAAGCATCTGCGTTGGTTGAAACACAATCTTCCACAGCCGAGTCAGGGATCACACCAACGACGCTCCAAGCTGCACCAATTCAACCAATATTGCGTGAGGTCGTCATGGAGGAGAGTCCGGCCTGTGAGCCTGGCTCGGAGCCCGCGGTAATTTTGGAGCCCACCCCGAAAGCTACCGAATCGGAACCGGTTGAAGATACTGCTGCAACTGCGGAGCCCGTAACAGAAGTTGGCGAATCGGATCTCACTGAAGAAACTGTGCCGGTGTCGGAAGCAGTAGCCACTATTGTGCCAGCCGAGATATCAGGTGCGGGTACAGAGGCGGAGGAATTTGCTGCAGAGGTTGATGTATGTATCACAGCGGAAAAGGAGGGTGATAGTGAGTCGCCACAGGGTGCTGTTGATGCTGAGGACGAGCCAGCTGCTCCCACCGAACCGGAAGTGGAAGTGTTTGTTCCCGAGGTCATTTCGGCTCCAGCTGAGGCTGCGACAGGGCCAAATGTCCCGTCAGCTGAATCAGAGGAAGCTGCCATCGCCCCAACTACGGCGTCCGAGGTTCCTGTCGAAGCTGCCGAAGCAGAGTCTGTTGATACACACAACTCCATCACTGTCGACTCAGAACCAGTCACAATCCCTGGCCCCGAACCCATTGCTACCGCTGAGACGGATCCTGTAGCAGCAGCAGCAGGACGTGAACCTACCGCTGTCGAGTCGGAAGCGCCTGCAGCAATTGGTGCAGAGCTCACAGAACCTGCAGTCGAGTCTATTGTAGTGGAGACTGTTCAGATCGACGTCGAGCCACCCAGTTCCAACGTGTCATTCATCGAGGATCCTGAGGTGGACTTCACGTATACTGACGACACGCAGACGATACTAGCTGAGGAGACTCCCGTGTTTGAGGAGCCAGTTTCGAACGTCACTGATGTTGAGTCCGAGGTGCAGGTAGAAGATTCCTCTGTTGAGGAGATTGTGGAGGTCATTCCAATCGATGTTGTTACTCCTATAGGAGAGCCTGCATCAGTCGAGGAAATTCCAGCGGAGGAAGTTGTAGCGATTGAAGAGGTTGTAGGAGCCGAGGAATTCCCGGTCGAAGAGCCCGCAGCGGTTGAAGAGACTGTACTGGTTGAGGACACCACCGCGGTTGAAGAAACTCTACCTGCTGAAGAGGTCGTCCCCGTCGATGTCGCTATAGGAGAGCCCGCAGTGGCTGAAGAGACTCTACTGGTTGAGGACATCACCGTGGTTGAAGAAACTGTACCTGCTGAAGAGGTCGTCCCAGTCAACGTTGCTACTGAAGAGCCCGCAGCAGTTGAAGAGAATCTACTGGTGGAGGAGCCCACTGCAGTTCAAGAAGCTATACCTGGTGAGGAGGTCGTCCCAGTCGACGTTGCTACTGGAGAGCTTGCAGTAGTTGAAGAAACTCTACTGGTGGAGGAAACCACCGCAGTTCAAGAAGCTATACCCGGTGAGGAGGTCGTCCCAGTCGACGTTGCTACAGGAGAGCCCGCAGTGATTGAAGATACTGTACTGATTGAGGATACCATCGCAGTTCAAGAAACTATACCTGCTGAGGGGGTCGTCTCAGTCGACGTTGCTACAGGAGATCATGCAGCGGTTGAAGAGACTGCAGTGATTGAGGAAACCACCGCAGTTGAAGAAGCTATACCTGCTGAAGAGGTCGCCCCAGTCGATGTTGCTACTGGAGAGCCCGCACCAGTCGGGGAGGTTCCCCCGGTCGAAGTTGTAGCAGTCGAAGAATATGCACCAATCGAAGAGATCACTCTAGTTGAGGATATCACCCCTGTTGAATCAGCTGCTCCAATCGAATCATCCTCGCCAGTCGAAGAGCCTGTTGTTGACGAAGCTGAGCCTACCGTCGAAGAGCTCGCCGCTCCTATTGACGATGATCCATTGTTGGAAGAGACCATGCCTTCTGTCTATGCAGCCGACGTCGAAGCGCCTCTTCCCACCGTTGAGGTTTCCTTACTTGGAGAACCTGCCGCATCCTTTGAGGAGCCTCTTGTTGCACCCGAAGAAGCATTCGCTAAAACACCCGCTCCAGCAGTTGAAGAGACTTCGCCCGCAGGAGATGCTTCAACTGTTGAAGAAACATCTGCTCCCCTTGTCGAGGTGCCAGTCGAAGAAGATAACCCTGCTATCGAGGAGCATTCTGCGCTCGCAGCAGTGGATGTGCCTGAATTAGGAATAGTAGAAGAGCATACGTCTGTCGCGGTCGAGGACATTTCGGGGCGCAAACACGAGCCTGTAGCAATCGAGGAAACTCCCGCAGATGCAGTGGAACCTGTCTCTGTTGATGATAGAATTCCTCCCACTATAAACGAGACACCCCTCCCTGCAGAAGTGCCCTCGGATACTGACGGGCCTGCTCTTGAGGTAACTTCAGCCACGGAAGAAAATTTCGTCCCGGAAGAAGAGTCCGTTACTACCATTGTGTCAGACGAAACGATCTCTGAAGTGGCAGTTGTCGCATCGGTCGAAGAGGATGTCCTTGCGGTCCAGGAACCTCTCGAGTCCCTGGACGTAGAAGTGCCCGAACCAGGCATGCATGAGGAAGCCGCAGCGCCAACGAGAGACCATGAGTCAGTTGCAGTCGAGGATACGCCGGTGTCCGATGATCAGCCTGTCACCGTCGAGGACACCCCCGCAAGCGAAGGGAGATCTGTCTCTGTCAACGATCAATTCCCTCCCACGAACGAGATTCTACCCATTGCAGAAGTGTCCTCGGCTGCTGACGAGCCAACACTTGATGACAGTCCATCCACCGAAGAACCTTTCACGCCTGAAGACCAGCTTACCACCGCCTCTACTGTGGAGGTACAGCCAACAGCAGGAGAAGTCGCTGTTGCGCCCGAAGAAATTACCTCGAAAGCGGAGGAGTCCATTCCGGCTTTTGAAGTGGCCCCCACCACTCCCGCGGACCCAGTGCTTGACGATTCCTCATCTCCTGAGGAAATTACAATTGTCGCCGAGGAGTCGACTGTCGGGTCTGACGCTTCCGTAACTGAACTACCCGTGGCTGTTGATGAACCCGCTCCCGCTGTAAGTGAAGTATTGGTCGTCGTCGAAGTTGTTCTCGAAGAGGTCCACGCTACCCCGGAACGCACCGAAGACGCCTCATGTAGTGAAGAGACTAAGGACGAACTTGAGAATTCGCCACATGCAGAGGCACCTGTATGTTTGCCTGGGCAACCCTTCGTAGAGGAGTCTCTCCCTACAGCTCCCATCGTTGACGAGTTTGCGCTCGAACCCGCAGAGGAGCCTGAGATCTTAGAGGAGCTGCATGTGGTTACCTCCCAAGTTCTTGTCAATGGAGGGCATTTTGAAGTCGATAAGGACTCGGAGCCTCCGATTGCACATGTAGAGACTTCTAGCGAGATTGAAGAGACCGAAGCAGTCGAGCAACCCGAAACTACCGCAGTCAAAGAGGTCACTGAACAGCAAGAGGTGAGCACGATCCTTTGTCACTATCCGCGTTTTCTCAGACATGTTTTAGATTGTAACATCCTCAGCTCTTAGCGTTGCTAGCGATATTGAACGTCCCAAGTCACCATGGAGCCCTTCTTACAGCGTCATGACTCAAGGACCAGGCGTTGCCGTCGAGGAGCGTGTGGACGCCTATGAAGACGATGATGACGTTGCCCCTGCCCAGTCACAAACACCCGAGATCATTATTGATGAAGTAGCCGCAGTTGTTCCAGAGATTGCAGCTGATATGGAAGCGTCTGGACAATCCCAAATTGAGGTTTTACATTTGGCAGAGGAACAGGTATAATTTGACCCCTATTGCCTGTCTGCCTTTGACTTAACTCGAGGATAGGTTGCGCTCGGTGAACCGGAAGAGCCTCACCCCAAATCACCTTGGACGCCTTCTTACTCAGTGACTGTGCAAGGCAACATGGCTCACACTAATGAGGGACTTGATGACTTGGAGCAACTTCCCCCAAGTGCTACCCAGTTTGTTGCAGCGGAGGCATTTGAAGAGCAACCTGTTCCTTTTACAGAAACACTCATTTCTGGCGAAGTAATCAGTTCTACCACATTCGTTGCAGACATGCATGCTACGCTTTCGGCAACGCTAGATGAGTCAGATATTCCTCAGGATGTCGCTTCGGAGCATGGTGTCATCGCTCAAGCAGAACCTTCGGTACAGACTGCACTCGAGCCACCTACTGTGGAAGAAGTGCCTGAGGAGGAAATTGAACAGGGATCGTTCATCGTCGACGACGAGAGTACGGTAGGTTACTACTTATTTATGCTAAGATTAGCCACGCTAAGTGTTTTCGACAGCAATTGGGTACTACCGACCCTGACGGAGAGCATAGTAGTTCTCCCTGGACGCCGTCCTACTCAGTTACTGGGCTTGAACCAGCATCTGCACTTGAGGATCAAGCGGTTGCTAAGGATGACGAATTTGTTGACCATGGTTCATTTATTATTGAGACCCAACTACCCGTAAGATTGTATTGGTATCGAGCTTTGCATTTGCTAAAAAATTCGCAGGTTGGTGTAGAGGATGTTCCTGAGGTCAAATCAGACTCAGGGCTTCTGACACCCGTCGATGACCCTGTTGGAGAAAGACCAAAGTCACCGTGGACCCCTTCGTATTCTGTCACCAAGCAGGGGCCAAATGATGCTGTTGAAGAAGTGGAGAAGCTTAACGAAATAGAATATCTAACTGGTCCACTCTCTAGCATTCCTGCACTTGCGGCTGACGAAGAGCCCATTCCGCCTGTCCTTATCACCGAGACACGAGCGTCTGTAGATGAGCCTGTCGTGGCAGAGACTCCCTCGCGCCCAGAAGGTGACGTGATTGTTTCAGAGGTCTCCGAGACATATGAGGCCAGTGGAACTCCATTCGCCCGAGAGACCCCTCAAACATTCCCTGTTCTCGAAGAGCCACAGAAATTCGCCAACAAGAAGTCAGTCCATGTTTCCCCCACTTCCTTCCTTACTCCTGACTTCGTGCATTCAGGCCAAGCTTGTCTGCTGTCGACGAGCTTAATGCCACTGAGGTCACTGAATCCAGCACCCTCCGCATCGATATTCCCACCAACAACGGAGCTAACCGCAACAGACTGGAGTCCACGACCTCTTCTCGTTTCTTCCCTGGTGGATGGTTCTCCTCTTCACCCAAGGTTCCTGAAGAGGGTCGCACATCGCTCGACGTTGCAGCTGGAGAATTCATCCATAAGTCCCCAGTCGAAAATACTCCAACCACTGCTCCAACCAGTGCCCTTCCCTCCGCTGTCGAGGAAGACAAGGAAAATAAGTCTCGTTGGTGCACAATCATGTGAAAGGCAGAGTCCGCCACCTTATGCATCTGAATTCTTGAAACTTATCATCGTTTTTATCACTTTCGTTCTCGTTCTCTACTTTACCTTCTACTATGCATGACCCTTAACGACAAACGACAACTGCATATTCATATTTACTTTCAAGCGGATTCTGATATTGATCTCTTGTATTTCGGCTAATCTTCACCCTTGTCAATGCGTTGTTTGCACTTGAAACCTCTTGGATTAGCGAATGTCTATCTAAACGTAACCGACCTTAGCTCAGTTGGAAGAGCGCGAGACTGTAATGGGATAAATTCATCTTGAGGTCGCCTGTTCGAGCCAGGCAGGTCGGATTCTTTTTGACTGAGCTCCATTTTAAATTAGGTGATATTGTTGTTACATAAAATAACATGGTGCGTTCAGCGTTAGGTCAAGGAAACGTGATGGTTGTACAGAATTGGAACCGGTATTACTGACATGTATGTATCTTTTTGTTATGCTACGACCGTTTGTGCCACCTTGCTATGGCACTCGTCTATGGGGGAGTGGTTCGTTTATCTACTGCATCATGATTAAATATTAAATCAATGGGACTGTTCCTTCGATTTATGGTACCTCAACAGAAAGGGCGGTGGTCCTGGGCTGAAAATTCCCCCACTTGCAGTATAATGTACTGCATTGTTATCATGACAGCTGAATACCTAATGCTACCTACTCGGAGGGTCAGTGGTTATAACACACTCAGGCCATCACTCAGAAATATTGAACAGTCGCCGGCTCAGTGTCTAGCCCGTCATGCTGTGCCGCATACTCTAAATTTTTATTGCTCTGTTTTGTTAAATTTCAGACTCGCACTATATGACCACCACCTGTACTTTTCATGGATTGATTAGTACCAATACAACAATAAAACCTACTGGAAATACGATAACTACATTGCTACCTGACGGTGACTTAGCGGTAGCACTGGCAGTCAAGCTTCACTTTTGGAACAAATACAGCAAGGACAGCCTGCCTTAATGCATTCTCGCACTATGACATCAGCAAAACATCAAGTCTCTTATTTCGTCTTAAACATGACTTTTTTGACTTATTGCATCAAATAAGGAGAATCAAGTCAAAATTCTGTTACTTTAAATAAGGAGAAATAAGTAGGTCCTCGTCCTTAGGACAAGGAGGTTCAGGTGAGCAAAAAGCAGTTAAAAGTCACTATTAGCAGGTGTAAAACAAATCAATAAATGGTTCAAGGGACGAGTCTAAGGAAACTAAGCAGTGTGGAATAAGGGACTAAAATGCTAAATAAGCGCTGCTAAGCGGGCAGAAAAGTGCGTAAAAATGTTTGAGGGAGGGTATAGTACTGTGCAGTTGAAGCTGCTGCTGGTGCGAAGCTAAGCGGGCTGAAAAATGTTCGAGGGAGGGTATAGTAGTGCTGCGCAGTTGAAGCTACTGCCAATGTGAAGATAAGCGGGCAGAAAAATGTTTGAGGGAGGGTATAGTGCTGCGCAGTTGAAGCTGCTGCCAGTGCAAAGACAACAGATTTGCAGTAGAGTGTGGATGGTAGATATCAAGGGGGGCACAAAATGACAAAATGATAATAAATCCTGCAGTAACAGATCAGTGATACAGCTGCACAGAAAGAAAAAAGAAATACAGATTCGAATGTGAGAGCGTGGGTTGACGGAAGGTGGAGCAACACCTGGCACAGAAAACTCAGTTGATGTGCTGCTGCGACTTGTGCACTTCATAAAAGGTGTTGCTTGAACAATGATCTCCTTGACTCGCTTCTCCGGCAGCTCCAACATTGTTTCCATGTAGGCCTTCGTGTCCATCTCCCAGTTAGCAGCAGAAAAAGCAGTTCCAGTATGACTCACCCTGTTTGTCGACTCATTGAACGTGAGTTCGATCCTGTGGGTTTTCTTGTTGGAGTCAGAGAGGTCACATGTAACCAAATAATTGTTAGACACCAAGGAAAGTGCACGCTCGACCTGAGAACAAAGTCAGAAACGGATCAGAACAAAAAACCTGACTCATGGCTGCAGCCGTCAATGCAAGTGCAGTCTCGACACCAATTATTCCACAGTCCAGGGTGTCAACCTTCTCGTGCCCTACAATTGCATTTAAATGCATAGCAAAGGTGCACCAGAAAAACTCCAATAAAATTGCTCCAGGATTGTCTTCACTCTCGGGGTTCTTGTAGACGAAGCGTGAATCCTTGAGTTGATCATCGGCAAAAGATTTGCGTGCAGCTTGCATTTCATACTCTGGATCTGAGGCAAAAAAGGCCATCAAAACGGTGATTGCTGTTGAGCCAAATGAGGCCTTCCACTTGTGAATTTTCTGTATAGCCTGGTAGGACCGGCAAGTTAAGTACCGCATCTCAAAGTCAAAGGAAGCTCACCAGTTCATAACCGGAACTACCAACTTCAAAATCACACTTACCCCGGTCCTTACCACCAATACAGCTACATATTTCGTAAAGCGCATTGCAAAGATTCTCCTCTGGGATGGTCCAGCCATAGCTAGAATTTCCGACCCAGTACATGAGCACAGGAAGGAATGTCGCTCTCCAGCTCTTGACCATGCCATCAGGTATATGAGCGTTCCTAGGCTTTGCCTTTCTCAAGTTGATGGACGCTGCCTTGCTAGTAGCTTGCTCCATCTTGATGCACTTTGAAACTGTTTGTTTGTCGGAGACATCTACGAACATCTGTATATCATGTGGTGGGATGTCACTTAGTATCTCACCTGTTAGAACATAGCACTTACAGATGTCGTAGAGCGAACAGCAACCTCCATCTCCACATCACTATCTTGGATTTGGTCCTCACCATCATCACCATTTGCAGCAGTGTCGGGGTCATCAAGCATTTTGAGCACCTCTTCATCCGTAAATCTGTCAAGGTCACCTGTTTCCTCGACTTCCTCATCCTTGATAGCTGAAAACGTACATTTTCTACCCTTTTGCATGCTCTTGGGTTTCTGATGTATATGTACAACAGCCTGACTCAGACTAACATCAGTGTGCATCCCAAAGGTCAGTTGGTCACTCACTTTTCCGCCCCCTCCTCTACAAGGTTCATACTCCTCAGGACCAGGCTCAGGTACATCATCTGACTCAATGTCAATGTCATCTGGGACTAAAAAATCAAAATTAGAACATGTCTTGACAACAAGTGAGTCACATACCAGTGGTGCTGATGTTAGGTGGTGCTGACGGTTTGCTCAGTTTGGCCTGGGACTTCTTTGCAGATTTGGCAACTTTGTCAGCCCAATTCTCAACAGCACCTTCAGTGCCCAGTCGCTTGGAACTTTGGCTGATCGATTGATCGAGCATATCGAAATAATACAGGGTAAGTTCTGATAGAAGCAACATCGTGGTTCAACAATAATGACTTACAGTGATTTGGTGACAGTGCTTCCAGCATGTGTCTCGCTCCCATAAATGCCAGAATTTGAGACTTTCCGGCTCGCTACGATGCTCTCTCTAAATGTGAGTCGTAACGGGGCATGCCTCTTCTGCTCTGTATTCTGAATAGCTGCCAACTTCGTTTGTCCAGCTGTACAAATGTCCGCGTCAAGTAAGTACATCTCTCACACTACATAACATACTGTACTTACTTGGTTGCGCGTCTACTGGATCAGTCTGAGGTTCTGTACTTTTTTTTCCAGGAACTTGAGGCCTCGGTCATGGTCTAACGAGTTTTGGCAGGCCTATAAGCTGAGCTTGTTGCTCAATGGCCATTACATCTTCCTGGATGGCAGTCTTGGTGCGCGCTTGTTCTGCTGCAGCACTCTTGGCCGCTTTTTCATCTTGTTTTTTTTTCTCAGCAGCGATGTCCTCCTTTGGGCACTGCTGCCGGTTTGCGATGCGGACAATATCTCCAGGGTGTTTGTTCACATTGCTGGGATGGGTTGCAGGGCGCGGCATAGCTGAAAGAATTGAATGAATGACGAGTAAAGAGTGTTTCAGTTGGTAGTGAAGGAAAAATAAGAAAGGTGGCGACCAGTACGTCTTGTTGATTTTTGGGCTTTATTACCTCAGTTTGACCCCCAAACCGATTCACACAGTCGGCGGTTCCGCATTCATGTCTTTATGAAGGTGATTTTTGCATTACTTTGAACTCAATATTTCAGCTAATTCAAACCAGTCAGCATGGCACCATCCTGCACATGTTCACCAGTTCCTCACTCCTATAAATCAGTTCTGCTCTCATGTCCATTTGCTGGATGCAGTCGCATGTTCAAGAACAAGTCTGGCTTGACGAAGCACACCTGCACACAACATTCAAGAGCAACTTGCAACCGCCAAAAATTTCACCAACCAGCACCTAGAGTTCGTTCCCCTAGTTCTGAAGCAAGGTCTGACTATGACCATCTGGACTTTGGTGGGCCCAATCTTGATGCCAAATTTGAGCATCAAGAAGGCTTTGTGCCTAAGGACAGAAGTTGGGTAGAACTGGGACCGCTTTTTTGAGTATTCCATCCCAGTCTCACCGGTAAGCTCTATTGTTGCTGTTGTCACTGGCAGAGATATTTGAAACTAATTCCTTCATACAGGACTAAAATGTGATGCTGAGGGTAATCTTATTGATCAGAATGCACCTCCACCACCCCAAACTGACACTTCGCCGGACAATTGGACTCCATATGAAAGCCATATTGCATTTGAAATGGCCGAATTTCTTTTCTCGTGGAATCAAACATCTGCAAAGCAAATTGACACTCTTCTTGACTTATGGACAGCATCATTGATCAAGCATAATGACGCTCCACCATTCACAGGTCATCATGACTTATACAACACTATCGATGCAACACCACTTGGCGATATTCCATGGGAGACATTCACCATGTCCTACAATGGTGCCAAATCACTGCATGACATACCACCATGGATGGATGCGACTTATGATGTTTGGTTTCGGGACCCTCGCCTCCTTTTGCATGACATGCTTGGGAACCCCGATTTCGATGGGCAAATGGAATATGTCCCACATCGGGACTACAGCACAGAAGATACCCGATGCTTCAAGAACTTTTTTTCCAGCGACTGGGCATGGGACCAAGCAGTATGTATTGATATGTCAAGCTATTCTTGATGTAGAACTAACAAAGTACTATGGTGTTTATGTAGGATATTATTGCTCAAAATGAAGCAAATCACGGATCAACTTTCGTGCTGCTGATCATCAGTAGCGACAAGATGACAGTTTCGGTAGCCACAGGACATACCAAATATCACCTGCTCTATATGTCCATAGGCAACATATCCAATAGTACACGACATGCACATCGTAATGGTGTAGTTTTGGTGGGTTTCCTCACCATCCCAAAAAGTAAGCTGTTTCCTGATGTCGTGCCTCTGTCCTTACTTACTTTTTATATAGCTATGAAGGAACATGCCGGTGATACAGCTTACCGCAACTTTCGACGACAGATGTTTCATAGCTCCCTTGTCAAAATCTTTGAGGCCATCAAACCTTACATGGACACCCCCAATGTCGCTCACTTCCCTGATGGACATTTTTGCAGGGTTATATATGGACTGGGTCCCTACATTGCTGACTATCCAGAGCAGGCACTGCTGTCTGGGGTAGTCCAGGGATGGTGTCCAAAGTGTGTACTTTGATGTTAACTGACTCGACTACATACATGCTGACTATTTTAGGTGCCTTGCTGACCGGAGAGACTTAGACGGTGACGAACCATGCTTGTGCCGGTGCGAGAAACACAGGGAGCTTCTCGTCGAAGAGCTCGAGTATGGAAAGCTATGGGAGGAATATGGTATTGTCGGTGATGTTGTGGTGAGTGTAGTTTCGACAATTCCCATGTTAATACACTCTTACTTTTGATTTTTTTAGCCCTTTACGAATGACTACCCTCAAGCTGACATTCATGAACTGATTTCACCAGACATTCTCCACCAAATTATTGAAGGCGCTTTTAAAGATCATCTGGTGGATTGGGTTGAGTCTTACCTCAAGATCACACATGGTGCATCCCATGCTGCACAGATCATGGATGACATTGACAATAGGTAAGAGACACACAGCTTTGCATGATTATCACTAACAACATATACTCAGAATTGCAGCTGTTTCTTCATTTGCAGGTTTACGACGATTTCCGGAAGGACATGGATTTAAACAATGGACCGGCGATGATTCAAAGGCACTGATGAAGGTGCATTACCATGTTTCTCAAGAGTTGTCAACAATCCTCACAAGAGGTTTGAATCTCTCATGTGCTCATGGCACGACGGGAGAGATGTCAAGAACCCTTGCAAGAGGATCGAAGTTTTCGAACCCCTCATCTGTCGTCACAGGACTTGAGCTGATCTGCTAGTAATCAGGTCTACCTTCCTGCTATCAGGGGTCATGTCCCTGATGATGTAGTACGCACCTTCAGTGCTTTCCTGGACTTTTGCTACATTGTTCGACGCAACACACTTACTGAGGACGACCTCTTACAACTTCAGGACGCACTTGATTGGTTCCACAGATACCGAGAAATCTTCAAGACAACTGGTGTCACCCTGTCTTTCTCCCTGCCGCGCCAGCACTCATTAAACCACTATTTACTTCTTATCCGGCAATTTGGGGCCCCCAATGGGATTTGTTCTTCAATCATGGAGTCAAAGCATATCAAGGCTGTCAAGGAGCCTTGGTGCCGCTCAAGCCGGTTCAAAGCGCTTGGGCAGATGTTGCTCACAAATCAATGACTGGATAAACTGGCAGCTGCTCGTGTGGATTTCCAGGCATGCGGAATGTTGAAGGGCTCATGTCTGTCTGAAGCTTTGCATAAGCTTCGAAAGTGTAGTTAATTCCAATTTCATTTATTATGGTAATAATCTCACAATGTACAGGTCACTACAAGTCTGACTCTGACGAAGAAGATGACAACTTTGCCAATAATGGAGCCACTCTTGCAGACCAGCCTGGGTTTCTGAATGTCAATGAACCTGCGCATAGGCCTATTGAGGGTGAAGTCAGTGAAACATTTGATGGACCTGCAGTAGAGGCATATGTTGACCTTGCAGCAACACCTTGTAAGTTTGTCTGCGCTCTTTGTACGCCTTATTGATACTACCTGTCTCAGGCTGTCAATGTGATGTTGGTACACTTGGCGACGAACTTGAGCTCCCCAATTTTCAGCAACTGATCCAGGAATTTATTCATGATCAAGCTCATGCTGCCGACCCCAACCCTCCTGTATTTGACTCTGCATCAGCACCATTATTCTTGGGGAAAGTCTTGATTTTCAATTCCGCAACTGCCTCATTCTATGCACCTAGTGATCTTAGCAGCACTGGAGGTATGCGACGTGAGCATATCCATGCGGTGTCCTCTTGGCGTGGAGGTGCACCTCGACATGATTGTGTCTTTGTCAACATGAATACAGATACAGATATTATGAATGGTCTTGCGGTTGCACAAGTGCTTTGTTTTTTTTCTTTCAGCAATCGCACATCTTTTTTTCAATGTGCTGTCGTTCGGTGGTTCTCGCATGTCCTCGGCGCACGTGATCTGGATACTGGAATGTATGTTGTTGCTCCCACAACACTTGAGGACAACACACCAGATATTTCCATCATTCATATTGATTGCATTTTCCGTGCAGTGCATCTTATTCCAGTATATGGCTCAAACATTTTACCTTGCGCGATTACTTCACACGATTCTTATGATGTCTTTTACTCTTACTTTGTCAGCAAGTATGCTGATCACCACACATTCGAGATTGCATAATCGACTTTATTTTACCTTTTCTGCACATTCTCTACTAAAGCTACCTATGACACCTCCCTGCAAGCTCTTCCCTGAGCCCCTTCAGTGACAAATTCCGTATTATACGGGCCAGCGGATTATGGGTTCATGTTGTGTATATTCTCGATGATGACGGATGGGCCAGGACACATATTATTTCCGATGGAGACGGGTGGGCCCATGTATGCCAATGATATATATATCCTTGATGTTGACAGATGGGCCGGGGGAATATGATCATTCATGGAGATGGGTGGGCCCATCTGGGTAATATGTAGAGTAGGATATTATAGACAGCTGGGCTGAAGAGAGATGTAAGGCAAATATTGTTATATAGACAGGTGGGCCGACGGGGGTGTATTACATATATGGGTGGGCCGAGGTAGGGGAATATTACATAGATGGGTGGGCTGACGTGGGGTGTATTACATATATAGGTGGGCCGACGTGGAAAGTATTACATATACGGGTGGGCTGACAAAAGGGATATCAAATAGACGGGTGGGCCGAGGGTGTGATAAAATATTTATTACATAGACAGGTGGGCCAG